AATCAGAAGTATTATAATGTAAATTATATTAACAGTATACAAATGTCAAGATATGTTGGCCGTCCAGATTTGGATGTCGTTAGAAAGTCATGAGATTTCTTATTTGCTGTATTTAAATTGCCTACAAATCATGAAGTGTTTCTTTTCACATTTGGATTAACACCATAAAATTATGCTTGAATTATATATTCAGGACATAATCGTAGAATATAAAAATTCGATATGACAGCGAAGCTATGAAGGTTTGAAAAATGACCAATACTGTGATCAGAAACCGTCCAGAAAATCGATGCACTACCTTACAATCATTCACTAATCGCACGCTTATAGAGAGTTTTTGAAATAATATAAAAAATATTCAGTTTTGAATCATCGCACTTTGGGATTATACTTTGAATTGGTACAGTGTATCGAATTGTGATACTATTAATAGTCTAAAAATTGTGAAATCCATTTTACTTTTTTGTAAAATTGAGAAATACCAGTTTTCTGGGTGATTACTATAGGCGCACTGAGGTTTCATTCACATTTATCGATTGCACCTCCGTTTTTCAAAACTACTACTACGTAGTACTTGAGCCATTCTTGTTGGCATACCTTCCACAAGCTTTCGGACGTACAGTGCTGGGCAGTAAAAGTGGACGAAAAGTAGCACACACACAAATATAAATATAACTTCAAAAAGTAGAAATTAGAATAGCAAGTTTTAATTGGACATTAACCAGAAAAAGCAAGTTGAAATAGGCAATTTTGTATGGAGCGCAAGGTGAACCACCTTGCGAATTCCATAAATACTTCTGAAATTGTATAGTTTCAATTAAATATATCTTCAAGTTTGTATTAATGATTCTTATTTTTCATGTGTCTGTCTCTTTTTGGAATTGAATTCGCAAGGCAGGTCACCTTGCGAATTCAAAATTGTCCAATTTTGTCCAATCAGATGCCGTGAAATCACGAAAATCGCTGCGTAGATTCATCACGCTGTGTTGCAATATATTCTACTCCTGTGATGACGGTTGATGCAAGGAGCCTTGAGATAATTGTGTAGGCTGTGTATGAGAGCAAGATCATGTGATGTGGTATTCAGGACTCGGTCAATTCTAACAGGTCTCGTTTCACCACTTGCCTACTAACCCAATGAAATTGGCCATCCCTCATTCCACCATCCAGCCCGTGTCGGTACCGTACACCTCCCTGCCGGTGTGATCACGTAGTTGCGCGGGTGGTGACGCAAGACGTCTTGGTGGCACCCATCGCAAGTGCTGAAGTGGCGGCTTTAGCACTTTTCGTTTGCGATGGGTGCTACCAAGACCTCTTGCGACACCGCGTTGGCCCACCAGAGCCACCACGACATTGCGACCCAACCGAGCGTACAACATAATGTTAGCTGTAAGGGGAGAACCACTAAGGGGAGAACCACATTGGAGATAGTCGGAGTGCACTCATCAGTGCACAATTCTCTGGAGCAGCATCACTGTAACGTCTTCTGTCAGTGTTATAGCCAATCGTGTGTACTACGTAGTACTACGTAGTAAGAAACAAGGTGTGATGGATTCTGATTGGATATTAAAAAGGAGCAAGGTGGCTCACCTTGCGAATTCCATTAACAAGTCAAATATACAAAACCATGTGGAAAATTTAACTCCTCTGTGATTAGGTCAATTCAAACTCGAATCGAAATGTCCGATCGTCACCCGAGGACATTTCCCCGGTGCTAATGCCTGTCAAACATTCGAAGCAGCAACAACATTACACTAATACACAGTGCAAGCGTCTCCTCTTGTAGTTTCGCTCCTACCATGAACGACAACCAGTACTGCCACAGCTATGGGGCTCCGCCCACGACTTGGAAGCGGTGGAGGTCGAAGGAGGAACTAATCCTGAAAACAACAAGCGTCACGGACGGTGCCCGACGATGGGCGGCCAAGCCCATCGCGCCGGTACCGCATGTATGTATTCCAAGAAGAGCTCTTGCATGCGGGACCGGCGCGACAAAGAGAAGTACATCGGTGTCTTTCACCTCATGGTATAGGTCAAACGCAATCAACGGCCGTGGTTGCAACAATACCTCCTAACGATGCAAAACCTAGCAAATGGGTATGAATGCCTTAGTCGTTTGTTGCACCGTTTCTGTGCCAGCCATCGATTTTCCCACGTGTACCTTGTATCAACAAGGTCACACCAGCCCACCAAGCAAGACGTTGGCAGAAGTGGTGAAGTCGTTCTAAACATTCTGAACACATTTCGTACGTCCTGACTATCCGAGCTGATGGTACATGCAACATATTTATATGTCGCCTATAAAATGATTTAATAGGTGTCAAGCTGCCGCTATTGTTCATCGTCAAAGGGAAGCCAGGTGGGCCAACGGACAAACTCGAGTTGCTTCAGTACGGTCAACGTCATGTGTACCGGTATGCTGTTTAAGCAAACGCTTGGATGGATCACCGTGTCTGGGGCATCTATCTGGAGTATTTATTTGCTCAGCATGTAGAGGACGCGTCGGTGCTAATGGTTGATAATCTCGACTGTCACGTCTCCGAGGAGTCGCATAAGAAAGTGGCTGAAACGCTGTTTAGTGTTGTGGAACCACTGCCCAAGAACTGGACTAGTCAGTGCCAGTCGCTTGATGTTGGTATTATAGGCCCGTCAAGGCCATATTGAAGTCTGAGTGGCTTCTGGAGGATGAGGAACGCGGAACCGACGAAATGACAGCGCAAGAGAAACGTTGTGCTACAATCAATCGTACCATTCGTGTGTGGAACAAAGTTACTGATAGTACTGTAGTTCAATCATTTGACAAAGCTGTACCTAGTGTTATTGGATTGTAATACAGCCCTTGTTATTCATCGGTGTTGTTATGATCGGCGCTTTGGCAGGCCAATCCATTAAACCAATGCCGCTTTGCCCGATATGAGCTCTTGTGAATCTTGAGACGTGGATTGGGGCGTTGTTTTGTTGAAAAATGGGGTCAATTATGCCATGTTGGGGTTTTCCCAGAAACGGCAACAGGTACATGTCCAACGTCCTGCAGTAACTAGTACTGTTTTGTTTGCCTTCAAGGAAGGCTAATTCAGTGCGGCCAAACGCGCTCATTCCAGCCCAAATCATGACGCTTCCACCACCACTCACTCGCTTGGTGAAAATGTCTTGATCCTTTCTGAGGTATTGCCAGTACTATTGATAGCCATCTGGGCCATCGAAATTGAATTTCGTTTCGTCACTAAAGACATGTTGGCCCAGAGGTTTGATTTGGACATCCATTCGGCAGCTAATTTCGCCCTCGCTTTCTTATGGCGTTGTTTAAGAGCTGGGCGTGGTTTTCTCTTGATGTACTTGGCAAGCTCTATTGAGCGCAGCCAGTGTCGCACAGTAGATGCATTTACTGTGCTATTTAGTGCGTAGGCGATCCTTTTGGACGAATAATGCTAAGCCGTGGCGAGGCGAAAGATTTGTCTCAACATTCGCTTGGTGACTTTTGGCTTACGACCAACTGGTTTATTGGGTCTTGGCGTGGTTTAGGACTACAAACATGTCCTTATGGCTTTTCGCTGCATCCAATGGCTTTAGCAATGTAGCGATTGCTTTTACCTTTATTGTGAAGGGCATGAACGGCGCCAACTTGCTCCGAGGTCAAACGTTTGCCTCTTGGCATGAAAGGTTTTGAAAAATGATCATTTGACAAGGTAGGACTGCAATTACTTATATTTAGAATGCTTTAATTGGGCACAAATGGCTAGAAACTTGGCTTTTTTGGATGAAATCTCAGTGCTTCTATAGTTTTTATCCCCCTGAAAATGGTTTTTCTCAATGTTACAAAAAAATAAAATGGATTTCACAATTTTTAGTCTAGTATCACAATTCGATACGAATTCAAAGTATAATCCCAAAGTGCGATGATTCAAAACTGAATATTTTTTAAAATATTTCAAAAACTCGAGTGGGTCTATATGTACTACACCATTTTTCAATTGACTTGGACATTTTATCGATGGATTCGGTTGATATACCATTGGATTGAGTGGCGTGCCCATTCGAATGAATGAGTGCCCAATGGATTTGGTACCCACGTTCGGTGTGCCCATTGGATTTGGCACGACCCCCTCGTGTGCCCATTCGATATGCCCATGCGCCTTATAGAATTGGTTTGTACCCAACCAAACAACCTTTAGATCATTCGAAAGTGTCGTGCACTCTTTACAGTTGGCAATTGCTTTTTCTAGAACATCGGACGGGGGGTTCTATAATTCTCGCGCGCTTTTCGTCACTTTCAAATCTCCCGCGTGACAGTGAACCATGGAGAACACAGCACCCCAAACGCCACCAAACGAACGTACAAACGCATTCCGTTGTCGGCCAAGAAGCGCATAGTTGATGCGTTCAACAACGCGATGGACTGGAAGCGCGTCGCTCAAGTGAACGGCGTCAACATCAGCAGCGCACGAAATTGGCTGCATCTGGACTCGTTGACGTCGAAACAACGAGGTATGAAAGTCGTGTCTACTCGATCTAACATTGTCATGTAAGGGGAATCACGACTCCTGACGGAGGAAAACGTCGACATGCTGCAAAGTTGGGTGGAGCATGACGTCCAAATCACGCTCCAAGAGATCAAAGATCGATTGGCGCTTGATTTGGTGTAACGACGTCACTCCAGTGGCGTCATAGGGTTATCGACCAATCAGAACAGACGTCACTGTTGACGTCAGTTTACGACCAAGCTCGATTGGCGTGCGGCGTGCTCGGCCATGGACACCAGAAGTTCCTTCTGCAGAGCGCACGTATATATAGCATTAGATATAGTATAGTCACAGTAGTCATGCATGTAGATGTAGATAACGCCAATCAATCAGTTTTACAATTTCCTCTGCGTTATCAACTCCCTACATTTGGGCATCGAGGTGTCCACATCGACTTTGCATCGTGAACTCGACAAACGTGTGTTCACGTACAAGACGGTTCATTATGAACCCTTACAAATGTTTTATTTTCATCCTTTGGATGATTTATTGTATTCATTTTTGAGTTTTCCTAATTGAATGCAAGCACGACACTTTTGAAGGATCTAAAGGTTGTTTGGTTGGGTACAAACCAATTCTATAAGGCGCATGGGCATATCGAATGGGCACACGAGGC